ACCGGGTCCAGCGTCCCTTTTTGAATCATCTTTTGCTTTAGAACCAAAATACTGGGCTGGAAACCGGGTCTAGCTGAAAAATGGCGGACATTTTTTCGATTGAAGAAATGGAAAATTTTCAAACTCGACTCATCCTGCACTTGGCGGACATTTTTTCGATTGACATGGATCAGACAGGTTTTTTTTCTTCGCTCAATTTTGCCTTTTAGAACCTACCTACTCCTCCTCCTCCTCCTGAGGCTGTACTGGGGGCCCGTGCAAGAAGGACTTGAGTCTTGAGATACCAGGCCCATTACCTGGCTTCAGCTGAGAATAGGATCATGATTCATGAGCAATTACCCGGGACCTATGAACCAATTGTGAGATACCGGGCTCATTACCCGGCTTCGGCTGAGAAACCACTCAGACAATTTTTCACCGACAAAAAAAAAAAACATCCGCCTATGGTCGACCCCTAAGATCAGAAAACCGGAGGGTCAGATTGTCATTATTATCTTCTTTTTTTTTTTCCTTCTTTTTTCCAAAAACGCCCCCGCCAGTGTTAGTGCTGATGATGAGGGCAGACACCACTTACACCTGGGGAGAGGCTCCATCTATTGGTGGGGAGCATCACCTGCTGGAAAAACGGGTCCTGCGCCCCATATTACAGAAGAAATAATGTCTGAGAATGTCTGAGGAATGTCTGAGGATGTCTGAGCATGTCTGAGAATGAAATGTCTGAGAAAGGTGAGGAAGATGAGGGCTGAGACTGTGGGGCTTGCCAGCATTGATTGCCCTACAACCCAGGGGAGCAGGCCTGTATAGTGTTCAGTAGTGTAGTCCTCCATGAGCATGGAGTATTGTCATTGCCTTATGTCTAATTCACACAACCTCACAGATCCTTCCGTGAGGGTCAACCCAGATTTGTCGGAAGGTGTTGGTCATATTTTGTATAGATGCATGGTAGCAAGGTTTTTTTTTTTGGTTTTTTTTTCAAAGATGATGGATGGTGACTTCCTCTTTTTTTTTTTTYTTTTTTTTTTTTGATGGATGGTGACTTCCAGTGTTCACATCAGTTTTTGAAGAAATCCATGCTTCTTGCGTTTTAGATGTTATTGCATCTGGTCCTTTCCGTACATCCGTTAAAATTGGAACGATGAGCATGGCCCCTGTGCAAGGATGACACGCATACAGCGAGAACTGGTCCAAAAAAAATAAAAAATAAATAAAAATAAAAATAAAAAAATAAAAGAAAGGATATAGAAAAAGAAAATGTTATTGCATCTGCAAAAACAAAAATGAAAACGAGTCTGCTTTGGCTTGTAAGTAGCAAAATCATACACCTTGAAGAGATTGCTCGCAGCAAAGGCTTTTTTTTTTTTTTTTTTTTTTTTTTTTCTTGCTGCAAAGGCATTCCAATTCCAGGAATACTTAGAAGAAGGATGTTCCTAAAAACAAGCGTACATTCCAGGGAAGGTGGCCCACTGTTAGAAAAGACCAAGCTGCATCAGAGCGCATCCTACCGGACTTGCTAGCAGGGGTATTACAAGCTACCCCCGCAAGCAGGTTGGCTCCGATCTTTTTTGTGGGGAGCTTCACCTGCTGGGAACCGGCCCAGCATCCCTACCATCTTCACCCGAATAGAACGCCCGGTCATTATAGCTGTATTTGGTGTAATTTTCAGTCCAGATACGGCAAAAAATACTGGGCGTTCTATTCGGGTGAAGACGGTAGTAGACCATGTTCCGACACGTTACACCAACCACGGTAAGAGCACAACGGTCACAAAAATGACAAAATGCACAAAAACTACAACATGCCTTGTTGGTCCAAAATTCTCCAGAAAATCTTGAGTTCAAAACCTTCCAGTCTGCATTTTGGGGCTAGGAAACACCTGTACAGAATCTGCCATAGTCGACTCTGTGTGCTAATTGGGGTTTTAACTTTTAACTTTTAAGTGCCTGTACGTGCTGCAAGAGGAGTCAACAAAGAAAGGAAGGCAGCTACAAAAAAAAAACAAAAAATCAGAGGGATTAAGCAAAAGGCAAATGGATGCAGAAGGGAGTTCCGGATTCGTCTGTTGAGGAGTATTTCAATTAAACCACGCAGCTGCCTTCCAAGGCTTGCGAGACTGCGAGTGCGGATGTTCAAACTGGCCTGCGGCTTTCGCTACCTGTCCAGGACAAACTTGAAAGCCAAGTGCTCTTACCGTGTAGTATAGTGATAGGGGCACTACTATAGGTTGGTGTGAACTGGTGGTTTAACAAGATGATTTGTTGCTTACATCTGTAACCTGTTTTTTTTTTTTTTTTTTTTTTTTTTTTTTTTTTTTTTTTTTTTCAAAAAATCTGGAACCTGTACTTTACTGTGTACTGTATCTAACAAACATTGGGTGATCCCCACACCATTCCCAATCCACCCACACCATTCCCAATCCACCACATCGTTCCCACTCCCACTCAAGTGCCTTGCTTCAGGTTTTGCATTTTGCGGAAGACATAACCCATAAATCCACTATTGTGTAAATTGCTTCCCTCACCCATGATAACCATATGGAGTCCTTTTCAAGAGAGACTTGATTTCCAGATTGATCTAGAATTTGTGGATCATCAAAAACAGGATGGCACCTTATCTCGTGCCACAATACCTGAGTCGGTCTCTTTTTGGGACCCATTTTCCTCTGTGGACTAAATCACCACTCCCCCCGACGTCGAAAATTGGCTTTCCGGGACCTTCAGAGGCCAGTAGCCCTGAAGAAGGCGGAAAAAAACAAATTAAAGCGGAGGTAGGCGGAAAAAAACAAATTAAAATCATCACGAAGTTTGACTGTTTTTTGCGCTCAGAAGAATACACCAAAAGAACAGAAAAAAATGAGATTTGGTAGATTTGGTGGCGATCTTTCCGGAAAACAAATATTAGGAAAAAGTTCAAAAAACAAACAAAACGGCTTAGAGTCTTTAGACCATGAAATGCTCACCGCGATTCGGTGCATTTCCCATTTTTGCCACTCTGCCACCTATGGGCCAACGGAAAAGTAGTCCAACTTCAGCGATTTTTCACGCACAGAATAATGAACAGAAAAATCTGAAAATTTGGGATCCGGAAAATTTGGTCGAGATCTTTTGAGGAAAAATATTAAAAAAAAAAGAAAAAGGAAAAGGAAAAAAAACTTCAGGCCGTGTCGTTGGCGCCAATTCCGCACAAATTCCATTTTTACCACTCGACCGGTTCTCTACACTACGCTACCGGTAGGCTGTAGCCCTCGTGAACTTGTGCTACCAATCCCCCAATTTTTTTAGTGGCGCGGCAAGTGGCGGTTTAAGAAAGTTGAAAAAAAAAAAGAAAGTATGGCCACAACAGGTTAGGCGGGATCTAGCTTGGTTTCCCAGAATTACCCTCTCTCTTGTGTTTTGCAGCCGAGCGAATCAACCGTAGATCCATTTGGCGGAATCTAGATCGGTTAACCATTGTGGTAGAGGTGGATTGGTTTGAGCAGTCGAGACATTGGGGCACACAATCCATTTGGCTGTAAGCATATGGGGGGCACGGTGTGCCTGCCATTAGGCGCATTACCAATCAGCCGAGGAACCGAAAATTCAAAGATCAGGGGCATTAAAGATTAAACTCATCTCCAAGGTCAATTACGCCTAGTCCTCCTTTGGATCCTGGTTGAGCTATGCAATGCTACGCCACTCGTTTGACCCATTTGGTTATCCGCTTTAATCTTGTAGTAAGTAGGCTGCTGCAGCCGGCTTTCATTTTTTTTTTTTCTATAGAGCCCAGGGTGTTGTAGAGGTCGGTTTCTGGCTTTCATCTTGCTAGTTGTCATCAAAAAGGAGCCTGTACATATTCCATTCCTTGAAATGCAGCAAAAAAATAAGGGTGAAGCAAGAAGAATAGTGGGTGATATGCAATAAAGGGCTTCTTGTTGTTTTAACTTTCAAACGACTTACTTAGTCTGGTAACTTTGCCGCGTGGGAGAATAGCGGGGGCCTCGGTTGGGCCTTGCTTGTGAAGCCGCGCTGCTGTGGTGCACGTGCTGCCACTTTTTTGCCTCCTTTCTGTCTCTGCTGCACGATCACGTAGACGATAGATCCTTTCTTTTCTTCCTCTGCGAAATGATCGTTTCGTTCCGCAATCCTTTGTTCGGCGAAACATAGGAGGAGACCTCGCTTCACTGCTCAACATTCTAGATGTATTTGGACGTGTAGACCGGATGCATTCTGACGGATCCAGAACTCTGACCGTAAGTTACACAACAGCCGCATCCTCGAGACGTTTCTGCACCACACAACAGCAGCCCAAGTCTGGGCTCCATTCGTTTGGCAGTGTTGTCGGCCGGCAGGGGAGAGGTCTGGTGGTCGCGAAGGAGGTATAAATGCGGTTAAAGGGGGGTTGAAGAGTTTAAATGGGTTTAAAGGGGTTTACCTTAGTTGGACATTTTTATTTCGCCTTTTATCCTCCATTCAATAAGGAAGTCTGAGCTGACCCTCAGCCGAAAGTTCTATCCATTGCGCAATCAACACAACATATTTGTTTTCCAGATGTTTTCCAGATGTTTTCATTTTTTTTTTTTCGTTCTATGGTCACCTATACTCAGTCATCCAAGTGTGCAGCCCGACTTCATACTACCGTCTTCCCCCGAAAACAACGCACCCTCATTTTGGCTGTATCTGGCCGGAAATATAGCTTGTATACATTCATTTTTAGGGTGCGTTATGTTCGGGGCAAGACGGTAGGGGCATCATATGGCTTATACCTTCAACTGGCAACAAGAAAGGAAACAAAGCATGCCATCATTTTTGCGCTGGGGCTGCACAGGACGTGGCCGGGCCCTTGCCTGGGTGGGCATTCCGAGCAAGTTGTGGGACCTTGCTCTGCCTGGGGAGAGGGTGAGAAAAAAAAACAAAAAACATACATACAAATTTGAAATTAGGTGTGCAATACATGTGTTAAAAAAAATCAGAAGACTCAGATGCATCTTTTCTTTCCATTCGTATAAGGCATAGGATATCCCAGCAAAGATCTAATAAGCATACCGTCTTGCCCCCGAATAGAACGTACGGTCATTGTAGCCATATCTTGACTGAAAGTTGCCTCAACTACAGGCATAAGGACCATACGTTCTATTCGGTCGAAGATGGTAGTCCAGTGGGCCCAAGCCAGCACCTTTGTCGGGGCTACACTGAATGGTGACCTGCAGCAGTCCATGCTTCTTCTAGCACTGCGTGGCTCAACCCAACGCTTATTTCTGCTCTGGCGTAACCCAACGCTCACTTCCAATAACCACCGCTTTTTCCATTTGTGCAAAGCTCAAAGAATATCCCAGCAAAGAGATCGAATAAGCCTAGTCGAGTGGGGACTCAAGCCTGCACCTTTGTCCGGGCTGCAGTGAATGACGACCTGCAGCAGCGGATGCTTCCAGAACCGCCTGGCTGAACCCGACACTTATTTCCAGTCTCCGGTTGTCGCAGCAGCACCAAACTCAACCCCCGCCACTAGCTCGCGAAAAGAGGCCTGGATCGTCCCTCCACACGTACCCGTCCAGCTGGTTCCCCAACCAATCACGCCAGCCACACCAGCCATGCTCACGAAGCCTTCACCAATCTCGCAACCTCGTGGACTATAGCATTAGCAGCACCTGATCTTCTTATTGATTCAACACGCGTGCAAGCGGTACTTCCCTCGTCGCGAACGGGAGGGGCAGAGTCATCCTGCATTCGTCTTGGATTCACGCCCGGCGACGCCCTTGGATGCACGGAGGGTTGCTCATCTGCTTCCAGTTCCAGATTCCTTGAGGGATGCTCCTCTCTACGAGCATTCAAGGCTAATAGTTTAGATCTCATCTCATCAAGTTTCTCTTGATGGATTAAGAGTTGCAATACCACATCCGCAACATCAGCAGGCGTCACTTCACCGATTAGCTCTGGGACAATTTCCTCTTTTGCCCATCTGAAGAAAAAGAAATCAACATGCTCAACACCGTCAACGCCATCAGCTCCTCCTTGCAACATCCCCCTCCCCCCACCATAGAGAAAGAGCGCGCGCGCACGCACAAGAGAGAGAGAGAGAGAGA